TCATGGACATCAAATGAACATTCATTAGTACCAACATTATCATCACCAACAGTTCCTACTAATTCAAATACTGCTTTTTTAAATAAAACAGTATCAACACCTGTTTTTTCACCACAAACATTTGCTCAAACGAAATTTGGTTCATTAAAATCTAAACATGTTGGACGACGAAATCAATCAAAGTAAGAAACATTAATCATCAATTCCATTCGATTATTATAATATAATTCATTTCTTTTTGTCTTTACATATAGAATGTTACCAAATGAATTTTCTGCTTATATCAAACAAAAAGAACAAATACAACAATCAAGAATATTACAAATGCCATTTATTGATAATAATAATACATTTATTCCATCGTCATCATCAGCTATAATTCGACCACCAAATTATAGAAATTATTATAATCCACATGTAACACATTCACAATTTAATTCATCAATGTTTAATAATGATTCACCATTGAGACCAAATACATTACCATTAACAAATGGACAGTCATCGATTTATATTGAACAACAAATAACCAGTTCAACATCTTAAAAACAATCAGTTTTTTTTCTGTTCTTTTGTTATATTTATTTATTTATTTATTTACTTATTTATTTTAATCGTTGTTTTTTTTTTCTTTTATTTTCTTTTCTTTTGGTTATATGGTCTCGGTTTTGTACTCTTTTCGTATTTTATCTTATTATTATTATTATATAATTTATTAATCGATGTTTTTTTTTTGTTTCTTTTTGTTGTATTTGTTTTGTGTTATTTTATCTTCATCCACAAAATGACAGAACAGTTTCATTCCTATTTCTCCCTCGTTTTTTTTCCATGTATATAGAATACAATATATTGTTCCACATTCCAATAAGGTGAATAATAACCTATGTTGTAGAAGTTTATCATCACCAGTAAATAGTTTTATTTTGTCAAAAAAAAAAAGAGAAAAAGAAAATATTTAACACATATTCTTCTGTCTGTTTTTTTGTTTTTGTCTTATTAAGATAATGTTTTTTTTCTTTATTTTGGTTTTGGATTAATCATTTGCTTCAACATTTCGAAATAGATAACTCATCGATTCTTGATTATGTATACGACGAATAGCTTCAGATAATAGAAGACTTATATCAACAGTTTTAATTTTAGTACATTGAAGTTTAACAAATTCATGTGGAACAGTATTTGTAACAACAACTTCTGATATTTGAGATTCTTCTATTAATGATGGAGCATCATGTGTAAATAGTGCATGTGTTGCAAGTGCATATACTTTATATGCACCACGATCACAAAGAATATCAGCAGCTTGAACAAGACCAGCAACATCATCAATCATATCTTCAACAATAATAGCTATTCGACCGCCAACATCACCAACAACATCCATTGGTAATTTACCTTTGACAAGAACGTCTACAAAATAAAGAAAAATTTATATGATTATTAGTTTTATTATTATTTTCTTTTGTTATGAATTCTTATTATTATGTGTATTCTATGAAATCACGCAACTCATAAATTTATTTTCTTTCTTGTTTAATTTCATCAGAATATGAGTAGCGGAAGCGGATCTTAAAGACCGGATATCATATTTCCTATGGTAACACATTTTCCGTTAGAAATATGAATTTTGAAAAGTATTTTTTACTCAATTAAAAATCATTGGACAATATTTTTATGTTTTTGACGAAAATAATAAAATTAGAAAAAGAAACCAATTTGAAAAAAACAAAAAAAAAAGGAATTCTTAAGCTATTATTAGTCTCAAATGAGAATTATGGAAAGAAAAAAAAAATTCTTTTAAATTTAATAATTCCTCTATTTCCAGAAAGAAAACTAAAAAAAATCGTCATCGTCAACCTGCTTTTCCGCCTGTTTAACTTATAAAAACTAGCATTCATGCATAAAAACACGCGTGTTTTTATGTGTATTTATATATATATATAAATGTGGATAGATAATAATTACTTGAGCCTAAGGCAAGTGATGGAATAGTGAAGACACTTCGTCGTTTTGATAAAGATTCAGGAGAATCTTCTAAACTAGCTACTGTTGGTGGTGGTGAATTTCGTCCATCAGTTTCTTCACTATCAGCTTCTCGTTCTTGACTACCATGTATAACAGCAATATTTAATTTTAATCTTTGAGCAAAACCAGTAACACGTTTAGCTTGATTAGGTGTACGTGCTACGATTACGGAATTACGCCAATCAGGAATCTATGATAAAGATAGAAAGAAATTTGTTATTTTGAAAAACAAAACTAATTAATTTTTTTTCTTGTTTATTGGTATACTTGTTGTTGAATATAATCAAGTAGAAAAGATGATGCCCGTAAATTATCAACTGGAATATCAAAAAAACCTTGAATTTCTTTTTGATGCAAATCAACTGTTATTAAATGTGTTAATCCTGCTTTAACAAGCATTTGTGCAACAAGTTTCATTGTAATACATCCACGTTTTTTTTGTTTACTTTGTTTACTATCTAAATAAGACGAATATTAAAGAAACTATTTTAAACTTAACTTACAAGGTAAATAAGGTAAAACTCCCTAAAAGATAATATTTTATTATTACATATTTAAATAAGAAAAACTTACAATAATATTTCTAGCACATGATGTTTTACATGCATAACTCATTATCATAAGTTCCATAAGATTATCATTTGGATCTCTATATTATAAAATGTAAAATATGTTATATAAACGAAGACTTGTTTTACTTCGTTGAACCGGTTTGAATAATAAATACATCTTTACTACGAACAGATTCACGAATTTCGACATGCGTTTCTATATTAAAATAAATGTATAGTAATATTGATTCAATTTCATTTATTAACCTTTGTCCGATTTTTTATAAACACGACACTCTCCAAGTGGCTTAATTCGACTAAGAAAAAAGAAAAGAAACTCTATTCAAATCTTTGTGAAACATAAATAATTATTAAATAACACAAAAAAAATCAAGCAGGGATGCATTTACAAATAACAACAAAAAAAGAAAAACATAACGTAAAATTTTCAATCAAAACATATACGTACTGACTACTTTCTGTCTTGTATGAATAAACAATTCTATAATAAAACAAAGAAAAAGCAGCATACACCAAAGAATTATCATAATTACCAGGAAAATTATTTAGAATATAAGCAGTAAGAAATTGTATATATATATATGCATCAGTTAATAATTATATATCAATGAGATAAAGTGGGAGAGAAAGATATAAAATACAACATACCTCGATATATTTTCAGCTAATTCCGGATATGAATTACCGGTAAGAATAACTACAACAATAATAAAACAATATTATACTAATATTTCTTTTTACAGAAGAAAAAACAATTAGATAATTATTCATTTTTTTTTTTGTAATCACAAATAAAAATTTTCATAATGAATCGAAATATCATTAAGTTTATGCAGAGATATTCTTGAACTGATATGTCACTTTTGAATCAAGACTATGTTGATTATGTAAACTCAAATGAACCATGAATATTCTGTGAAGAGTTTGTACTCTCGGCTTTTATTACTGCCGAGATACTACACTTTTACAATATTTGTTCAACGAATGTCATGATCCCCTTAGGAAAAACTGATTTTCGAAGTTTGAATTGAAACTTTACAAATACACGGATCTTAACAAAAGTAGTTTCAAGTTTTTCAATTTGTTTCTATACTGAAATAAGAACATTAAATCTATCGTTTTATATAAGAGACAAAATCTCAAAACATGAGCAATAAACTATCCTTTTCAAGACTTGTCTCTATGTAAATTTTCAGATTGAATTTCGAAAAATCAGTTTTCTTCATATACCTACTGAATAAAATATTATAAAAATATAATATCTCCGCAATAATATGCTAAGGGCTTGCACTCTTTTCAAGGTATTTATAGTTCATTTGAGTTTACATAATGTATACAGCCTTGGCCCAAAAGCGATTTATCAGTTGGGAGACTTCGTTTTGTTAGATTGACATATTGCCTTAGGAATTTTGCATTAGCTGATAAAAATAAATACAAATTTCATCCACCGTATGATTTTACTTACCCATTTCAGATCGACCAGAACGATCTGCAGACATTCTGTTTTATTTTAATCTAAGAATAAAACATATTTAGATTAGATGATGAATGAATATCTGAGATAAAGGAATGACATATTTCTATTGGTTCACACGGTACTAGTTTACTTTAGACGCAGTACTCTCATTCTCACGCGACGATTTATGTGCAAATCATATCTTTTCATTCACTGGAAGTAAACTAGTGCTTTTTTTTCATTCGATGAAAAGAAAATAGGGGTGTTCGGAGGTCACCAGCACTACAGGAATTTGAATGTCTTGCTGCGGATCGATGAGCAATAGAAAAAAAAAGTATTATGCTGAAACTCTGCAAGAGAAAAACAAAAACTTTTCATGATTGAAGAGAGGAGCGATTCTCTCTGCTTGGTGTACCACTGAAGAAAAGTTACTACTTTTACAAAACAACAAAGAAAACCTTTTCAAAAAAACACTCATGCTACTAATGATTCGCTGGGAATGAAACAAATAATAAAAATGTTTTTCTATATTTCTTTTTGATTTTACTTGATCATTTGAGTTTTTAAATAACCAATAAATTTTTTTTTATGTCGCTAGTTTACAGAGTTATTAAATAAATGAAAAGAATAACGAAACTATAGATAAAACTTGATCAGAAGAAACAAAAGTCTAAATTTTTAAAGATAAGTTATAGGGCAGAGTCTCAGTCTCCTAATCATATCTGTAAAGGAGACAGAGATCTTCTTCTAGTATATGCTTCTAAAATGGGCTCAACAATTTGTAGAGGATCTGAATCCTCTCTGATTACGCTAACACTGATTAGAACCTAATAAAGAATTCTGAGTTCAGATAAATTTTGTCCTTTATAGTGATTTATATAATACGAAAAGAAACCATTATTATTAAATTTTATTCACAAGAACATAATACTAATCAAATGAAGATATTAATAATTCAACTGCATTTGCTGATAATCGACATATTTTTTAATATTAGCAGCTTGTGTACTAAGTTTTTGAGCAAGTTGACGAAGTTTTTCAGATGTATCCGAAGTTTGTTTTTTATGAAGAGCATGTCCATTAGCAGCAAGATCGATTATTTGCACTGGTAAAGTTACTGTACCTAGAAAGTAGCCATAAATGAGAAAGATTTAATAATACAATATTAAATCATTACCTAAAATAGCTGAAGCAGCTCCAATAAATTTAACTGAATTAACAGTTAAAGTAGCTGCTTGTGAAATTCGAACGATAGAACATGTTAAATTACTTAAACTTGTAATTTCTCCCAAAATACTTGATGCAGTTTCTCGAAGTGTATGTTCATTAGTAGAATATTTTTGTAATTTTTCATTTTCTTTCTTTAAATAATCATTTAGTTTTAAAACATTTGCTTCATCTGCTTGACATAATTCATCCAATTTTTTCAAGTGTGATTTGGTTAGAATATGTTCAGCAATATCAGAACCTAGATAAGCTGTACCACTGGCTGCTGCTAAAGCACTACCACCAATAGTAAGAAGTATCGATAAACCAGCAGTTGGTATAGCTAACGCAAGTCCTGTTAGACAAAGCACTGTACCAGCAATTCCAGTGCTACCAGTGACAACTTTTGTAATTTTCACATTTTTATGAACTTCGTCAAGTTCATTAGCTGATTCTTCAATTAAACGAATCATTTCAGCTCGATTTTGAAAAAAAACATCTAACATCGTTAGAATTTGTTCATAATGTTGATCCTCATTGTAACAATCACATGAACCTCTTAGAACCATATTTGAATCGATGGAACAGATTATATTTCGTACGTCAATAGTTTACACAAAACATTTGTTATTTTTAGCAACAGTTTCGAAAGTGAAAAGAAATCAAAGGACATCATTCTATGAAGTCGATGTCTTATCTTGAAATAAACAATTATCTTAACTTTGTTTTGATAAAAACAAAATGAAATTTCAACATGTAAGTAAAAATATCATCGACGTCAAAATATGGGGTAAGACAATGTTTTTTCGGATAACTTTCCATAGAAGCAAGGTAGAGACCAGCGAATTTCACTATTCAAAAGAGTTCATCGAACACTATTAAATCAACTCAAATTCAATCGATTGAAAGATTGACCGACCGGGTGAGTTTTGCCGAGAGATTTAAAAAAAAAAGGCTTTCTTAGAAACTATGCAATAGAATTTTGGCTTATGCTGTGATCATTCAATAGATGAAATTAGTCGCGTTCGATCTATGCAGAGCCGACGTCTCTTACTATGTAAAACAGAGTTAATTTATATATTCTGCTGCTATAACGTAGAGAGTCGGTATTTCAAAAATTTTGATATAATAATTTTAGATAATTTTCAAATAGAAAACAAACATTACCACTAGACTTAGTATGATGAATTTAGTCGTGTCTTGACCTCTTTCAAAGTGTACTTAAGGTCATTAGATCAAAATGATATCACGAGAACACTCTTATAACTCTTGAATAGAATAAATTAGAGATGTTTGTTTTATGTGGATGGATGAAGGATAATTTTCCCTATCGAATGATGACAGTAGAAGTATAAACTCAACTTAAGAGTTTTCTAACAAAACTTTTTTCAAAATCTTCCTAAAAAACTCACCTATTTAATCAATAGCTGTATCAATCAAGTATGAGCTGATTTTGTGGTCTTCCATATCCTCTTTTGAACAGTGAAATCTGGAAGTCTCTATCTTGTTCCTATCGAAAGTTATTCAAAAAAACATTGTCCTATCATATACATAGGCATCGATAACCAGATCGAAAAAGCACCATCGTATACTATGAATCTAGACGAGACCATACGTTCAAACACCAATTGTTAAGAACTTTTAGAATCATCTTTTCATCATATCTGTTGTCATTTATATTTTTGTTTTTTTTCTCCTGTCTATTCTATCACCATGTATATTTTTTCCTTTCTGTTCCCTTGTCATTGGTATTTTTCTCTTTTACCAATCTGGTCATATGGATTGTTCTACATACAGGTATTTTCTTTTTCTATTTGTCGTCTCCTAACAAGTGTTTTTATCCTTCATACGTGCATCTTGGTTATTTCTCTTTAACAACTAATCACCAGCCCTATATGAAGTAGTCGAAATATTGCTAATAAAACGATAAAATACGTGTTGTAGACCTCTCTGCTCTTAGTTATCAACTTATCTATATATAATCTCACAAAATAACGTATGTCATAAACATAAACGACTATTATGCACGATCGTATTTGGTCGTAAGTTGAGTTACACTTATCATACACATAGATTTTTCGTTTTGAATTCAGTAACAAATGTAATGAACAATATTTCTTTTAAAAAAAAATAATTTTTTTTATTTAGTTCGATTCAAACAGCAAATTAAATAGTAAGTAATTCTCTGAAAAACCTAAAATCAAGTTTTGTACTCAAAGCAATTTGGAGAGAAAGTTTCTTCCTCTTGAGAGTACGGAGAGTAGATGAATAGGATGGCAGCCTTTATTGTATACAACTATGCAAGATCATAGTTTATTTCGTTTTGAATAAATTCTTTGGTAAAATTTTTCGTTTTTTATCATATTTGAATATCATAAGAATAAAATATTCGCAATTTGACACTACTTTTTATGTCTTTTAAGAACTAACTTGTTAATAAAAATAAAAAGCAAAGAATTCAAATTTAGAAAATCTTTAAAAATGAATATATGATTTATTGATATACTTACATTTTAATTAATACAATTATGAAAGAATCAAATGTTAATGATAATAATTCGCCAAGTTTGACTAATACAGCATCACAAGATTTCAATTCATATGATTTGATTACATCTTATTCTGATAGTTGGCAATCAATATCAAATATATCAAGTGAAAATCAAAATCTTGATCGTTTGAAAACTAGAATTAATAGTTTTCTTCGTGAACATCCAAATCTTGTTCAAAATATAAAAAATTATTTTTATGATGAAATGATTACTTATAGTGTTAAACGTTCATTGAAATTACCATTTAGTAAGATTGATATAACTAATACAGAAAGATTAATAAATCGTTTCTTTATTGAACATGAAACAACTATAAGATTTATGTTTACTTATTTTTTTGATGATATAAAACCATTGTTACTTAATAATCATTTATGTTTAATATCAGATCTTCGTATAATTAATTCAATTTTAAATTGTGGTATGCGTGAAGCAATAATCTTATTTTTAAAATTTAAAGGAGCACAGATTCTAACATTACGATTGTACAAAACTGAAATAGAACAAAATCAAAATGGAAATATATCTTCAGAATTTCAATGGACCTTTAATAAAACAAAATTTATTCAAGTTTTAGCATATTTTGTCTTATTATGTATCATATTTGGCTGGGAAATATTTCATATAATTCGTTATTCTTTCATAGGATTAATGTGTCTTGTATTTTATGCATATCTTTCAACAGGATCTTATACAATAAAAATTTTTAATCCTATTTAATTATTTATTACATTTGATATTTTCTGTAATGTTTCATTAATAAAGTTACATCTCACTTTACTCTAAAACAAAACAGAAGTCAATCAATAGAAGAAATCGATACAATAGTATGAACTGCTAATCATTATCATAGATTTTGACAATCTATTCAAATGAATTCTTAATATTAAAATTAACTATCGTCAACAGATATAACGTTACTATCGAGTTATCAAAGAGTCATTTGAAAATGTGTTCGTTTATTTTTTAAGAGCCTATAGAAATTTAGGAACATTGAGTTTGAATTAATATTTTCTATTATTTCTAAATACAAGTTCAATACTTCTTTAGGAGTTCTAGAATAGTCTTCTTGACTGAATAGATTGCATAACCGATTTTTTTTTCATAGATTTAAGAGCGAATTTGTTCTAATAACGAATTTCAGAAAAATCATTCACGAATGACCGAACTCATTTTACAAGTTTGTTGTCCATAGAAATCGACAAAATTAACACGATCTGTTTCATCGAAACATTCAATGTTAATAAATGGCTTGCACCAAACTGAAAATTAGTATATCATTTTAATAGAGCAATGCTTGCTCTTTGATTTGTTGTATTTGAAATAATTTTCGTTTAAGTTTTAGCGTGCTGAAGCTCATTCAAGACTCTATCTACGAGTTTTCGAAAAGATCTATTCATAATCCTTTAAAGAGCCCGTAGAAATGAACAAATATTTTATCATATTACTTTTCGATCGTGTGCTATGATATTTAATCGTATGTCTCTAGAAAACAAGAATATATTCAAAATAAAGATGACATATCACTTCCAGGTGTATTGAATGATACAGTAATAGTAAATAATAATTATGTGTTAAGCTACCTTTGTACATATTTAACTAAATATTTATTTAACAAATATAAATTCAGTATAAAAATATTTGAAAAGTATTTCAATAACTAATTACAAATTTCAAGTATTCGACTGATAATTATCAAATAAATTTTACCAAACAACAAGAATAAAAATTTTCATAGTACTAAGTTTCAATACTTGGCATATGTAGATAAATGTAGTCACACAAATTCATCTATTGAAAATAGTTGACGAAAACGGTTTTGTTGACAGTTAAATTTCTTCTGCATTTTTTTTTCTAACTTATATTATTCTTAATTTTTATTTTGATATGCGTCATGAAAGAGAAAACCGCTTCAATTAACTGTAATCAGAAAAATGCATTAAATACTTATCTTTCATTATATACTTATACAATTATGCTATTGTAACGCCGTCAAATCATAACTTATTACTTAACTTTTTAAAAGACATCATAAATTACAAAGTATAGAATAGCACACATCTTTCTACTCGATAGATGTTATTTAATGAAAGAAGAATTTACAAGCAAGGCATTTTTTTCTACTACTTATACGAATAATAATATTACATACATCGATGTACAACTGATATTTGCACGAATATGTAACAAAAAAAAACAGCATATTCTATTGCTATCATCGAAATAAAAACATTTTTAAAATATTCAAATCGATGAAAAGACATTTTCATTTGCATTACTCTTCGATAGGTACTATCGAATGAATAGTTCAATGCACATTGAATGATTAAAACTCGATAAGTAGTTAAGAATTTCAAGTATATTGACACTTGATAATGACACACCCCGAAAATTCTCTTGAGGTTTAGTTTAATCATACTTTAATATAATGCCTTCTATAAATGAAAACAATATCGACATAATTCAATATATGAGAATAATGATACATTATAATGAATACAGGGTGATTGAAAAGTAACTCCCTATTTTAAATTCTTTATTACTCTCAAATGACAAAAGATATCATAACGATTATTTCATTGTTTTGAAGCATGTGTCATGCC